TAGGGCTGCACGATAAATCGCATGCGATATTTAACGCCCATCTTATCAGTAAAGCCGCTTCTGTAATCAGCGGTAAATCTCCATCACCTGCGGGCTTTCACATTGAGCAGCATTAACTACACAGAGCCGTTGTTCACTGACAAGCAGCGCAAAACCACGTTCATATTCGCGCGATTTTTTTGCGCTGCTCGTCAGTTACATCTAGTCATAAATAGCATGTCTTTTTATCAATCTGTCATCCCTGATATGCAAATACAATGCAAAAGGGGCCATCATTCTTTATCATTTACCAGTCAAATTTTTAACTGAGACAAGATGATTTAAAAACAAAAAGCAGGATTACCTTAATGCTGGAAAGACCTTAAGTTTTTTTTTTTTTTTTATACTAGCCCATCATGTATCTAACCATCCAAGTGCACATTCGGTGTTAAGACTGGCAACTCAGCAGTGAGTCAGTGTCATGGACGTAGGACAGAGCAAGTGTAAATATCTTTTCTAGTCTATATTTCCATCTTGTAATGACGCTGGTTTAGGTTTTTTTTTTTATATAAATTATTTGCAATAGAGCAGACACTGTCTGAACGTGCCTACACACCGGATGCGGCGACAGTTGTCTTGCCGCGCCCCGCTGCGCTAAAAGTTTGTCTACACTTGTTGACACTACAGTTGCAAATCATCTGAACGTAGTGTCAGTACAGTTCGTCATAAATAGAACGAGGCATCAGTTTACTGATGGGGATCGTGCTGCGTCGCATCGCGCCGCATCCAGTGTAGACAACATCACTGGGTTCTATTGTCTTTTGTCGGATCGCGCCACTCGCATCCGGTGTAGACATGGTGTGAGTTTTTTTTCATGGGTTATGTTATAGCCCTGCTTGTTTTTAATGTTTTTATGAAATATCTGTATTGACTGCATGATCATATCATCGTATTATTTACTGCCATGCGAGCCACAAAGTAAAGCTTGGCGAGCCGCGCAATAAGTAACACTGCTGTTGGTTGTTTTTTGGCGGGTGTGCTTGTGCTGCCGCGGTCTTGTTCATTTTGTAGGGCACAACATCTCTCTCACTCGGCAGCATGCCTCTGTTTGAGGTGCTGCAGTAAATTGGTTATACTACTACCTTTGCTAGCAACAGACTTCAGACACACTTTGCAGACAGACGTGTTGTTTGTTCTGCGTCTGACACCGCAAAACCGAACTAATTCTAAATTACGGATGACACTGTGCCTTTCTTGGGAACGAGTTCTTCCCTGCTCGCTGCCATGTTGTTTGTGTATCTCTATGGCAAACGCGCGGG